GATTTAAATCAAAACTAAAATCAAGATTATCCCCAAAAAAGTGATATTATTGAAACTACAAATACAAAGATTATAGAATGGGGAATGTAACCATCTAATATTACTTATTCTGCATTTGTCCTATCATTCCTTTTAGATTGGTGATCTTTTTTCTTTAGTTTTGTTGGGGGTTTTTTTTTATTAAAACAACTGTTCTCAACAAAAAGGGGCTAAATTTATGGAGGTTTGTAGATATTTTTTTTTCCCTGCACAATTCTTTTGAGGTCCTGCTACGGCACATTTAATCAGGTTAATGTTGAACCTTTGCAACACATTTATTTTTCACCTATCCTGTTATGATCTGGCCTTAGCCATGCCATTAAATCAGATGTAAGCTCAGGTACACTTGCTTGGGGCTTCCGACATAAGAGAAGCATGCAAAGTTCAAAAGAGTGCACAGTCTGCTTTGCTTGGAGGAAGGAAGACTAGTCATTTTCAAATAGAGTAAGGAAGGGAGTGAGAATTTGCTCTTGGGATTAATAGAATAATATAATTATGTATGATGAACAAGGACACAAATACACTGGCTCAGCACAGCTAAAGCCTTCTAATTCCACCTGCACATTTATCCTAACAAGGTTTTTGCAGCAGGATATTTCTTGTGCTCACCCTAAGCAGATAGTGGACTGGTCTTTGAAGGAAGCTAGTTTATTTAAGTTATTTTAAGTTTGTTATTTTCACAAGCAAAAGCTGCATCCTTGTGCCATCTTATATGTCTTTTTCAATACAGATGCTTCTCTCTCTGATTTTTTTCTGACTTTTTCAGTAAGATTGTAGTGCATAGAGATAAGAGGTGGTGGTTCATAGAAGCTCTGAAATGATGTGCTTTGAGAACATCCCCATTATTACAGTCATCCAAAGTGGCCACCAGTTCTTTTTGTTAATATCCTTTGTCCACCTAAGATCTCCTAAATTAATCATGTGATATAAGACCTACTTTCTTGCATATACTTTAAGTCTGACCTGTCAGCTGTGATGCAGATTCTGATGTTCCTACAATACTAAAAATACTATAGTACACCAGAGCTTAAGAATTGTGTCAAAAATTAAAATTGCGATTATTTTCTAACAATATTGCAATTTTATTACCATTTTTCTTTGTGCAAACCAGATGCATGTAGATGTTTTACTCCAGGGTTTCAGTTATTTTATGGTTTTGAAAGCTAGCTTATCCAGGGGTCCACTCTTGCAGGACTTTACTTCTAATAGCGTGTATACATTTATGCAGTAACTGCAACTTTCTCTTTGCAAATATCTGTGTGGTGGCTCTCTGCAAGCATATTACTGCCACCTAAAGTGCTGGAGTAAAAAATGTAGAGACTTAGTTCTTGTGGAATTTAATGTAATGAAAGTACAGTATCGTCTGCGATTTGAAAATTGTTTGTTTTTTTAAACTGTGATTTTTTTTTTATTGCAAATCCAATTAATTGTCAGCTCCAGAGTAAACAAGATTTATGGAGTAGTTGTGTACTTAGCTCAAATTTAAGTTTAGGAGAATTTTACAAAAACAGTGTCATAACATTTTGATCAGTTTCAACTTCAGCAGCTAAGCAGGGTTGAAACTGATAGTTTAGGCACAGAAACCATATGTACTTTAGCATCACAATAAATAACATTTAGGATAAGTGCTCATGTCATATATATATATTTTTTAATAAAATCAAATCTTTAAATATTAGCTAGTTACATATTTATAACAGTATACCACATGTGACAGCCATCTGTTTCTGGAATATGTGCACAAATTTTAGTTAACTTATGAATACACCTTCCATACATTGTTGTGTCTTGTTATTGTAATATTTTATTAATTTAAAAAAACCAACTCTATATCTGTATCAAATTTGTGCATGAGAACCATCTCACCTGGATATCTGAACCACATCCTTTTGTCATTAATCACCATTTTCAAATGACAGGAACAAAGGAAAATGTTGGTGTTAAATGGATTTTTAACTGCCAAATGTACAGAAAGACAGAAAAAACAAACCCAACAGCAACAGCTGAGTTTTTTTAAATGATCATAACCTGATCTTCTGATAAAAATGATCTTGTTCTAAACATTAAAAACACCAACATATTCAGGGCATAATTTCTTTAGCACAAGAAAATAATGCCTGCGCTTTTTAAGATGGTTATGGAGATTTTACGAAATTCATTTGTTTATATTTTTCACTTTACAGTTAAAATGGTGAAAAAGTAAGACCAAGTGACCCAAATCTTCCTCTTACTCCTGACAGTCTATATATATAAAAAGAAAAAACTAGAGTATAATATTATAAATGGTCACCAGACCTGCAGGCAGTGCAGAAAACAAAAATGAAATTCTGTTTATATTCCAGCGAGGATTTAAGCAGCATAATGAGGAAAATATTAAAGAATCTTTTATCACCAAATCAGCAGGAGATCATTTTCTAGAAGAATGTGCCTTTAGCTAAAAATGCTTAGTATCACTTGAACATTATGCATATTTATAAAGTCCTCTTTTGCATTACTGTGACTAAAAAAAAAACTCCAGGTTTGCTGATGCATCTCTTTTTAAAACAACAAATTTTGAATAACAGGTAATAAAAATATCAGCCAGGGGAAAAATAGAGAATTTAGTAAATTGAATAATCTGCTGAAGGAATGTTTGCAAGCAGAAATCTTGACAGGATAAAATGTTTACCGATACACTATTTTTGATGTATTTCTTTCAAAATAAATATCTTAACAGTGAATTTAGTTCAGAATATTTAGGAGGAACCATCCATCCATTATCTGACACGCTTGTCCCAAGTGGGGTCGCAGAAAGACCCCGGGCCGGGAATCGAACCCTTCTTGCTGCAAGGCAGCAGTGCTACCCACTGCGCCACTGAGCAGCCCTTTAGGAGGACCCACTAAAGTCTAATTCACTTTTATTATGTGTTGATGGAACAGAGAAGTAGTCATTAGACTTGAACTTGTAAAACGCTCCCATCGACCTCAGTATGAAATATAAGAAAGCTTTTTATTCTGAGCCAAACATAGTTCTGCTTGTATGTTCCAAACAGAGTGTCAGGAAGTTGTGGAAAGAAAGTTGCACATCAGCAGCGTGTATTGGCCACAGTCGCATATATTCATCCAGTCGGCCATACTGTAACCACAGAGACAAATTAACACCAGCAGCCAGCAGGAGATCAGAGCCACACAGTTTGTCCTGGTAATTAACCTTTGTTCTGCCTCCTTCTAAAAGCAGCCGAGCATTTTCTTTTCTTTTTTTTTTTTTTTGTTGCTAAGACATGGTTCACACGGGCATGAAACCGATTCATTTTCATGCTACTTGTTCAATCTTCCACCTTTCTCTTCCATAAACTCTGGTGCCCATTTCTTTCCAGCTCTCTATTTCTAATGCGCTCATTTGCTTCCTCAACTCTCTCCACTTTTAATTTTTCTTCGTTACCGTTGATGATCATGAATTTGCTTGCTATCTTACATTTATTTTGTGCTAGAATTGTGGTATTCAGGATACACAGCGGAGGAAACTAAACAACTGCTGAGGGGGATAGAGGGCACACAGCACTGAACCTCATCATGTTTCTTCATCATTTTATTACACACCCAGTCAGCTACCTCTTTTGAAGGAATAAGCTTGTGTTCCTGTTTGAGTCTTGACTTTAGGAAATGTAGTTTCATATTTCATAATGCACAAAAATATTGATCTCTTTATTTACAGATTTATTAAAAGGAAGAGGAGCAACATTGGTATTTTGATTTTGCTTGTTTTTTCTTTGCTTCGTTTATTCCTGGGAAAGTATCTTATGAAATGTAAACGCATGCCTACATATCGCACGTGTAAGTCCCTTATAATTTGACATTAGGTTGAACTAATAAACCTTTTATGGATAGTAGCTATGTAGTCTAAATAGGAACAGTCAAATGTACTCATCAGCAGAAAATGGCCGTCCTTTTTCTCCATTGTTACTATGTTTAGTGATTTACTTCTGATTAATTGATTTTTTTTTTTTTTTAGTTTTATGACAGTAGTGGCTCATTTTTATGGACAGTAGGCAGACAGGAAAGGGGATATGAGAGAGGGGGGAGAGCTATGCAGCAAAAGACCACAGGTCGGATTTGAACCCGGGTCAGCCTTGTCGCGGATTTCTTTTGTTTTATTTATTTTATACAGTAGTTGATGGTCGACTCGCCTCAGCGATATGGAATATTTTAGTTATGCTGAGCCAAAGTTCAGATTTTCTAATATGTTTCACTTCTTCATATCTGTTGTCAGACCTAATCTGAAACTAAATCATACATATGTTATTATATATAATATTCATTATAAATAATGTTATAAATGAAGTCATTAATTCCTTTAGTTATTCATAACTTGCAGTTCTTTTTGATAATTGCAACTTTTCTCCTTTGCATAATTTATGTGATTGCAGCACACTTTGTGTTTGCAGTGTGTTTATTTATCTACAGTCCATTTCCTTTTTACTTCTCTCTATTTTCTGTGATCTCTTTGGTTTTACTTTTGCATGTGTATGTGTGTTAGTTCAATGTTTGTGTTTGCTTGACTCTTTTCTCGGATTGTAGTATTTGCTTTATTCCTTTTACAATTTTTGGCAAATCTCCCCACTCTAATCCAGGGTTAGTTTTGTGTTAAGTTGAATTCAACTGAAGTACCTGACATTATAGTTTTTGCATATCAACCATATTATACCAGTGCATTTAAATTAGAGTCTAAAACTACCAAAAAAAAAAAAAAAATCCTTTTTAAAGTAAATGTATTTTAAAGACCATAATTTGGTGTTTCCCTTCACACAAAAATTTCTATTGCCTTAAATTTAATTAAGGGGAATTATCTGTATGGTTTGATTTTCAGTTAATGATGTTTGGTGTTTAATTCATCCTGTTAAGCTGAAGACTCTTAAACTAGGCTTTGCAAACCAATATTTTCTTGCTCACATATATTTAGGAGATTATCACAATTTACTCACTCGACAGTTGCTGAGCTCTTCTGCTGTCAGGATGATTGTGCCGCATTTCTTCCCAGTGATCCCCCTGTGGAGAGAAGATGGGAAATCTTAATGCAAAGACACAAACAGCTGTCTGTAAACCGAGGCTGACGAGAGAAAGAGGGAGTAAAAAAATAACCTGGAGCATTAACTCAAGTCGTTTATAAAAAAAAACAAAAAAACTGCATCTGACTGTACTTCTTGTGATTAAAAAGCTTTAAAGCACCAGAGAGTGCAACATCTCAAAGCACTTCCTTTGTCTTCTCCTTTATTCTTTCAGAAACTTTTTCTAAAGGTCAGATGGGTATTTAGAATCCATATTTAGGAGGACATTTCAATTATCCTTTTTAGAAAGGTAGAAAACAACCATCTTTTAAAATTGCAATCCTAATTTGGCTTGACATAATCTGATTGTTCATTCACAAATCTCACTTTAGATGTTGTTAAACAGGCATTACAGAGTTTTCTTATGACACTGCCACCTGTGGACAAAACACCGAACTGCAGCACTCTTATATTAATTCTCGTAGCTCGCGCTCCTACTTGCCAAGCTTTTTTTTTAAATCTTTTTTTCACCCTGTATGAAGTTGCCTTTGGTCACTTCTGAGTTTCCCCAAAATCCATCTTGAATATAACGCTTTGATTGTTTGCTAGGTCAGAACCATCTAAACTGCACACGTTTGATGTGGCATTCGCGGCAGCGCGGGAACTTCTGACCGAGGGTAAATTTAGGAAAATAAGCTGCAAGCTTATTGATGATCGGCCCTGGACTACTGAGGTGTCAGTCTGATCATCAAACTATGTCATAAATGGTCAAATAAAAAGGCTATTTTAAACATGTTTTCCAGTAAAATATTACATAAAGTCTCGTTAATCTCTGGTTAATTGATTAATCCATAAACTAAGCCAGAGTGCTAGTAATATGGTGTTACTTAAACATTTGAATGGAGTAATCCATATATTACTTTAAGTGTAATTTAAATTGTAAAAATGTAATTTATTGTTTATTGCCCACATTCCTTTAACAAAGGCTTCAAAGTCTGTGACGGAGAGATAGATTTTTCTAAGATCTGACTGATTGTTTTTGTAAATACTTTTAATATGTGTCATCCGATGTAACAAATAACAAACGTTCATTAAAAGATGCACCTTCCTTTAGGCATTATTCTGCTTTCCCATTGCAAATATTAATATTAATTTTCTTGTTTGTTCGTTTCTTTTTTCTTTGGTTAATATTCATTTTTATCCTATATGTCTGAAACTAACAATTTATTCAGTTAATTAAATTAATCTATATAATAGAAACTAGGTTTTTGGCAAATGAATCATGTGGTGATATAACAAGTCATTATTGGTTAAAGGTTCAAAATAAACTCACTTTTAAAGAAAAACAATAAAACAAAGAAAGCCAGACATGCAGTGTAAAACAAAATAGGCAGCATCAGAGCCTCTAAAGTCACGCTTATGTTTACCCCACAGTTTGCCTTGGGAACAAGTCATAGTAAGGACTAATATGTTAAAGTAAATTATAAACATTTTATATTCATTTTCAAAATCACAAATAAAAAGGTACACAAGGTTAATTAAAGCAAATAATTTTATTTTAAAAAAATATAAACACCCTACCAAAACTAATATTTGAGGAATGAAATATTGACTAAATTGAACTAAACAAATGTTCATTAATCAATTATAGTCTATTGACAAAACGGCATGTGAAGAAATGCAGACGCCAGTGTATTATATTATATATAAAGCGCCTTAAGACAATTATGACTGTAACAAAGTGCTGCTTAACTACTGTACACTGAGAAAAATGTAAAATACAAATAACAAAAGAAAAAAGTCAGAATAGACAGCTAAGAATACAATAAAATGTAAAAGAAGTAAACACAAAAATCTCAGGTTGGACCAAAATGGCCTGGCCACCCAAACTGATCAACATGTCTTGCAAGGCTCAATACTCTGAAAACAGACCAGACCAATCACAGTGTTGAAGGTGGGCCCATAATGCCCACCTTTCTGTAATCAAAACAATTTGAATTGGAGCAAAGGGATGTTTTATTGATGCCCTTTATATATGACCCTAAAACAGCTTCCGCTCCTTTACAGACTATTTTGTTTTGTACGCGACGCAAATGAGTCTGGACGGCCAGGCTATTACCAAAAGTCGGGAATAAAGATGCTTCTATAAATGAGTGCAAATGTGGACAGTAAAGGGGCCTATTTGAAACTTACAGCGAGAGTGTTTTATAAAATGGCTGCAGCAACACTAAACATCTGTCCCCCCCCTAAGCTATAAAATAGAGCAAGACTATGCAAACTTAAAAAAAGATAAAAAAAGAAGAATCTTGAATGTCTTGAATATGTATTTTATCTTCTTTCTATTGTTTATTTTACTGCCTTTCAACAAACACTTAAATTTAACAGTTTAATTGAGCAGAATCATAGTTATTAGTAAAGGATACATATTCATCCATTAATTATGAAGATGTAAGGTGTATTGCCTTCTCAGCAACCAAAGCAAGATTAATTTTTTTATTTTACATTTATATTTTCTTTAACAAAACTTGCAGGAATCATATTCCAACTCTGTTTTGCACTAAATGTTTTCATTCTAACTGTATTTGTTTGAAAAATAGTGGCTCAACGATATAGCATTGAAGCCTAAAGTAAAAGTAAAAAACTATTTTGTTTGCTAAGCCGGAAACCGCAGAGAATCTGAACATTTCCAAATATTAGATCTCGGTGACAGCTGTTTAGAGTTTTGACTCCTTGGGTTTTACCACAACATGCTAAGGTTAGAGGCCCAAACAGAGTGTTTTCCAGCTGTGTAAGAAATTGTTTTTTGCTCCTCCACCCCATTCGAGTGTTTTTCAACAGAGGATGGAGACTTTTGATTCACACAGAAAGACTCCAATCAATCCTCGGGTGGGAAAAACTAACCTGCTCACACAACTGACGGATGCATGAAACTGTGAATGTTTGTTTTTTCACCGTCCCGGTCTCTTGGCACCCTCTCAGCCACAGATTCAAACACTCCACATTCTTCCCCACAAATGTGTTTCTTCACCCTGTAAACCTTTCCATTCTTTTTTTTTTTAAAGACTTTATTTAATACCTTGTCTCAACACAACCCTGACTTTAATGTGCACCAGTGCTGGTGTGCCATGAGTACACCATCAGTTATACACTGCCTATTAAAGCTTCAATGAGAAGTGAGTTTTAGGAGAAATTAATATCAGAATAATACTTGCAGAAACTATACAAGGATTTGTGAGGAAAGGTGTTGAACTCTATTTGAGATTGGAACAAGCTACAAATGATTTGTTAGGATTAAAGATCTAATTTCCTACAGATATCTTTGAAATCACTTCATATAATTATCTTCTAAAGTCTTCTGTAACTCTGTGCCATAAGATTAAAGTTACTTTCATGAGGGGCCCCAAAATGCTTTATTGTGAAGTGTTTATTTTGTTTTTTGGGCTGGCTGGTTCTTTGCGTCTCCCTGCTCTGCTAATTAGAGTAAGAAGTTCATACATCAAGGCGGCGCCTGCAGGCAGTGGCCTGATACAGCTCTCGACAGCTCCACAATATATGCCGCTTAGAGCGCTACAAACCAGGCATCGATCCCGCATCTATGACCGCCAGCGCCTGCCGGAGCTACGGTCACAAAATGTTTTTTTCTGGACACTTAAATACAGCCACTCTTGGCCATTTAAAAAGCTACGGAGTGCTTTGAATAAAAGAAAACAGAGTAGTGGATTATGGAGCAGGACACACCGAAGAGAAGGCAGGGGGAGGTGGTGTGCTAGGCTACGAAAGAGGGGCTGCAGAGGCGGGCTAATGGCGAAGCTGAGAAGGAATTCTCACAGAACAACTATCACAACGATTCTGCAATCCAATGTCTGCTCACTGGATAACAGAATGGATCATCTCTGACTAGAACTCTCTTAAAAAAAAAAGAGATTAGCATTCTCACGAACTTCTAAGCATTCTAAGCGACCTTCACAGCAGTCGATGCAGGTCCAGTAGATTCTGCAACAGCTTCTTCCCCACTGTAATCAGACAGCTGAGTTTTGAAAAAACTCCAAATGATGTCACAGCCTCTGCATCACACTAATAACATCAAACTAAAAGTACTCCATATTTGCACCATATATATTAATGCTCAAAATTTTCATATCAATGAGGGTTTTTACAATTTTTTTTCTCCCACACTGTTTAAATTTAATCACTGCTGCACTTTATGGAATAGAAATGTTCATTTACTGTCTGAAAAGCTTTATGAAACGAAATTTCGGTTTGTCTACACCATGTGTATACAAAATGACAAAAGTTGTCTAATAAAAGTTATGTAAGTCTAATATTTTAAGATCAACTATGAAAAGATATCAGTAAATAAAGATGAATGATTGGTCAGAGTTGTGGGCTGTGTGTACAAAGTTTTTGATTTGTTGTTTTAATAGAAGCTGACAGGAGTTTCAGTGCAGCACTGTAACTCCTTTGGAACATAACAGCTTGTGTGTAAGGTCAAACATCGCTGTAGATGTTCAGACCTCCAGAGAGGGAAACTGAGCTGTAAGCATTCCAGAGCAGCACTCTGCCAAACAATAGCTTCTCATTGATTCAGCTGGCAGAGAGCTTGGAAAATATTCAATAGATCGGGACAGAAAAATGAGAGCTTTGACCTAAAGGTGAAGGGACTGAGGTTAAAGAAATTATATAGACTTTGCTGTTAGGTGTTTTAGTCTTCCAATGGCTCAAAAGCAATAAGCCTGAGATCTTTTTTTTTAAAGAAATTCACAAAGATTATTTTTCTCATCAACTGACCAAAGTCAAAGGAGGAAAATATCACTTTTCCTGTCTGACCTACCCCACCCTTTTCCATTACCTCTCAAATGTCTGGGGCATTTGAGAAAGCCTGGGCTTTACAAAGCCTGAGTAGCACTTCAATACACATTGAACCCAGGTAATTTCCCATGGGGTTGATCCCTCTGGCTCATGGGAGGGCAAACTAAGCTTTTTAAGCCATCCTCCAAATTA